TATTTAAATATCAATTTTGTACATGAAATATTGGTAAAATTACAATCCAAACTTTTTGGGTCTGAGATATGTTGAAGAACCCTTCCTAAGACCAGGCATTACCACCTGCTGCTGCTGCTTAGTCCTCTTCTCTCTCTCTTTCTCCTTGCTCACTCTCTGAAACTCCGCCTGATCCTTTCGCAGATTCTCCATCTCAGCCTCCATTGCAGTCTTCTCTTCCCTTTTCCTCTTCTTATGCTCAAGCATTGAAGTATCAGACTCCTTAATAGAAAAGAACATTGGTCCTAACTCTGCAAGCCATTGTGGCTCTACTGCAGTGGCACATTGCATGTATTCCTTGGTTGTCAGAATCAGTTCATGATAAACCACATAATCCGGTGTGTATCCAAGCCCGTATAGAGCGCTACTCGGATGAAGATGGCAAGGCATGCCATTTCTACAATTGACATACTCCCCAACACCTTTCAATCTCGCGGAGTTATGAAAATATGCGGAACAGATTGCCTTCCTCACCACATCCCAATCCATCCCACAAGAAGTGAGCGGAATCTTTAGTGTTTTTAGTATGTCGAGCAGTTGGGATCTTACTTCCCTGGCTTTCCGAAGACCCTTCACCTGTAGGAAGTGATCGTTGCACCAGTCTCCTCGATACTGGTTTGCCTTCCATTGCAAATAGACGTTGAGAAGCGTGAGGTGATCGGACTCCGCAACGAAAAATTTCTCCCTTGCAGCATCGCTTTCCTCAGCCCTATCCTTGGGCCTGAAGAAGACAGATGGTACAGAAAGCATCGAAACAATGGTGAGGACTTCGTTTAGGCATTCCAATTCCTCCCCCATCAACAGCATCTTCGCTAGAGGTGGATCCAAAGGGAACTCCACCATCTTCCATCCTATTTCAGTGAGTCCTCCAAAATTGTTCAAAGCGCCCAAAACCCAGAGCTGGTACATGGAATTGAGGATGTTCTCCTGTGGAGGCGGATCCATGAAGTCAAAATCCAACAAGTTCTCGACTTTCAGGGACTTGAGCAGTAACACCACATTACCAAGGTTGGTTCGCTGGATCTCAGGCACAGGGGTGGCTAACATCTCATTCTGGTAGGCAGATTCTGTGTATAAGCGATAGCATGTTCCCGGGCCAGTTCTTCCTGCTCTCCCTGCTCGTTGGTCTGCAGCAGCTCGACTCACTGGAAAAACTTGGAGAGCATCCATGCCCATCCTCGGGTTGTAAACTTTAATCTTCCCGTAGCCTGTGTCTATAACATAAAAGATCCCATCCACAGTTAGCGAGGTCTCTGCAATGTTGGTGGCAACAATGCATTTCCTTGCACCATCTTCAGCCTTCTGGAAGATCTTTGCTTGCAGGTCTGCAGGCAGCTGGGAATAGATGGGTAGAATGGATAGCTTGGGAACTGCCTTCGCAGTGGATGTCGACAGTTGCTCCATTCGCTCGGCGAGAGCATAACAGGTTGCTTCGATTTCATCTTGTCCGGTCATGAAGATGAGGATGTCGCCTGGAGGACTAGCTATGTGGATAGTCATGGCCTGCTTCACAGCAGCCTCAACATAATCTTCACATGGAGTTTTACTGTAGAGGATGTTAACGGGGAACGTTCTTCCAGGAATGTGGAATATAGGAACACTTCCGAAGAAGTTGGAGAACTTTTGGGCATTCAACGTGGCAGATGTCACTATGAGCTTTAAGTCCCATCTCTGAGCAACTACCTTTTTCAATATGCCGAACAAGACATCTGTGCTAAGGGACCTCTCGTGTGCTTCATCCATTACTATAACACTGCAAAAGCAAACATGTTTGTCAAATAGTTGATGGGCG